CGAAGTCCTCTCTATCCTCAGAGAGCAAAAATTCTACGCCAATCCACCTTTGCCACTTCAAGCATTTAATACCTTGGCCACACCGTCTCCGCTGAAGGTATCCGCATGGACCCCTCGAAGGTCACCACCCTCATCGAGCATCCAACACCTAAGACCCTACTCCAACTTCACTCATTTCTCGGCCTTGCCAACTACTACCGCCCCTTTATCCTCAACTTCTCCGACATCTTGTACCCCCTCCACGAACTCACCCGCAAGGACGAACCCTTCACTTGGAACGACCGTCGCCGAAACGCCTTCGACTTCCTCAAACAAACCATCACCATGGGCCCCGTCCTGAAGATCGCTGACCCCTCTCGACATTTCTACGTTACCAGTGACGCATCCGAATTCGCACCTGGAGCCGTCCTATCCCAACACTTCCCTCGCGACACCTCTGAAACCTCCTCCATCAAAGACTCCCCCACCCACTCTAAGGCTCCACCCAACGAGTACCCCATCGCCTTCGCTAGCAAGAAGCTCCTTCTCGCGGAGATGAACTACCCTTCTAATGAGAAGGAACTCGTCGCCGTGATCCACACTCTCAAAGTCCGGCGCCCGTACCTCGACGGACAATACTTCACCATCTGCACGGACAACACCATCGTTTCCTCTATTCTCACCAAGAAAGACATCACGCCGCGCCAAGCCCGTTGGTTAGACTTTCTTGCCCAATTCACATTCCCCATTTGCCACACCCCCGGCAAAAGCAACCGCATTGCCAATGCCCTCTCTCAACGCTCCGACCACTAGCCCTCCGAGAAAGTCTACGCCTTCATGACTCATACCCAACTCCTCCCATCGCTCCACCACCGCTACACCCAAGGCTACCTCTCTTGCCCGGATTTCTCAACAATCTACAACAAACTTCGTGACCTCGACCATGTCCCCAACTACTCCCTCCATGACGATCTCCTTTACATTGATACTAAAGGCACCTGCCGACTTTGCATCCCTGACGCACATGGTCTCCATACCCAGCTCTTGGTCGAACACCACAACGCCAAGATTGCCGGACATCTTGGGTTCAAGAAAACATTTGACACCATCTCCCGCTACTTTCACTGGCCTTCCCTACTCGCCGACGTCAAAGCATACATCTGCTCATGCCCCTCGTGTCAAGCCGTCAACCTCTCAAATCGTGCCAAGCCCGACAAGCTACAATCATTGACGATCCCCACCCATTGGTGGCAGTCCATCTGCATGGACTTCATCTGCAGTCTCCCCAAGACCGACCGCAGACATGATTGCATCTATGTCATCATTTGCCGCTTGGCTAAACGCGCCCACTTCATCCCTTGCACCACATCGCATAACGCCAAGGACGTCGCCATTCTCTTCTTCGACCATGTCGCACGCCACCACGGTCTCCCCGAGAACATCATCAGTGACCGTGACCCTCACTTCCTTTTACAATTATGGAAACACCTCTTTAAAGCCTACGGGACCCACAGACCGATGGGCAAACCGAGAAGATGAACGATACTCTCCAAAGACTCCTGCGGAAGTATTGTCATCCACATCAACACGATTGGGATCAGTTGCTCACCACCACGGAGATCGTCAACAACAATGTTGTCTGTCCTTCCACTGGCATGTCTCCATTCTACCTTGACCTTGGCTGTCATCCGCGTTTGCCCTCCGATTTCCTACTCCCATCGCAACTCAACCCCTCCACGCCCTGCCCTTCCCTCGATGAATGGGTAGCAACAATGAATCGCGTCCTCAGAGAAGCAACCGAAGCCCTTGAAAAAACACAAGAACAATAAGCAAACAGGACAAACAAACACATACGTGACGTGTCATTCAAAGTAGGGGACAGAGTCTGGCTCTCAGCCAAACGCTTTGAACCCGAACACGGCTTGTCCAAGAAACTCTCGAACAAGTGGCTTGGACCCTTCCCCATCATTGAACGAACCTCCCCCGTCAACTACAAACTCCAACTCCCCCCTGACATGAGTCGTGTCCACCCTGTCTTCCACGTAGAATGCCTAAAAGAATACCATGAATCCCCACCCCAATTCGCTGACCGCCCATACCCTAGACCTCCACCAATCATGTTACCCACAGGCCCTGAATTCGTCGTCGAAGCCATCGTAGGACGAAGAACTACTCAGGTATTTGACCACCCTGAACCGATCACATACAAAGTTAAATGGTCAGGATACCCGGACGAAGAATCCACAGGGGAACCTCTTGCTAACCTTAAGAATGCTATGAAACTTGTTCGCGCCTATGATCGTGCTCACCCGATATCCTAGATATATAATATAACTCAAACCCTAAACCCTTGCATAAACCCCGCCTTGCCCCCGCCAAAACCCCGCATTCCTGCTCTACACACACCCCTGTACCCAGTGAAGCCCTTGCCTCTTGAACCCCCCCCCGCTGTCTGATCTGCTCTTGCCTCCGCCTTGCCCCGTTCTCCCATCTGTCCTCCGCCACATCCTTGTATCTCTTGTCCAAGTTCTCTATGTGGCCCCTGCGCGTCGCCGGTGATAATGGATCTAATGGCAAGCGCATGAGGACGATGGCATGCTGCAGCTCAGTACGGTGAGATAAGACAGCTGGTTGGCCACCATGCTGTTCCCTTTGGCCGGCGCCTTGGACTCACAGACTTCTGGAGCAGCACCTCTGACATGGACATCAAGATCAGTCTGCGACCTGCTATCCGGATCAGACCTCATCACCAGATCGTGTATCGGACACAACCTGCTACTGGGACAATCAAGCTGAAGCCCTCACCCGACCTGCTATCCGGATCAGACCTCATCACCAGATCGTGTACCGGACACAACCTGCTACTGGGACAATCAAGCTGAAGCCCTCACCGTCTATATCACAGAACTGCAGAAGACTGCTTCCTCACCGCCACTTCTGCGACAACTGCCAAGACCTTCCTCAAGACATTTTTCGCCTCTGACACTTTGTAACAGACCTGAGACGTTGTTTTCCCAGACCTCCTCAGACACCCCAGCACCTGAGCATTGAACAAACAATTTTTTTTTTCACTTTTTTTTTCTCAAACCTGACGGCCTACAACCTTGTAGAACACCAATAGGACTGCCCTGTTACCTGTAGAACCTCAATAGGATTACCCTGTTACTTGAGCATTGATTCCCTCATCCGTGTAGAACCTTAGTAGGATTACCCTGTTACTTGAGCATTGATTCCCTCATCCCTGTAGAACCTTAGTAGGATTACCCTGTCACTTGAGCATTGATTCCCTCACCCCTGNCTCATCCCTGTAGAACCTTAGTAGGATTACCCTGTCACTTGAGCATTGATTCCCTCACCCCTGTAGAACCTCAATAGGATTACCCTGTTACTTGAACATTGATTCCCTCATCCCTGTAGAACCCCCATAGGATTACCCTGCTACTTGCATTACTCCCCCTTTCTTTTTCTGACCAGTGACCGGCCCCGTCCCGTCCTTCACAATTGTTCATTAGGTCTTCGGCAGCCGGGACGTTGCCTTCCAGAGGGAGGGGATAGTGTTACGGACTCAGCCAGGGCTCGATCCCTGGTCCGCGGGTTACCACCCGCCAGGCTGCTATTCTTTTTTTTTTTTGAGTCTCTGATCTCCAGTTCCTGACTGTTGGCGCCCTCTGCAGTTGGCGCCCGTTCTCAAATCCCGCCTCTGGCACTGTCGGATTTCGATACTTGGCGCCATCCGGCATTCTGGCGCCCAGGCTCAGACCTTCGATTTTCAGTTTCAGCCCCAAGGCAAATTGCACTTCTGCCCTCGGACTCAACTTGAGTCCGGTACTTAAGACTGGACTCAAGCTGAGTTCGGGCACTCAGTTTTCAGGCTCAGTGCTTTTGCTTCAGTGTGACTTGCTGCGACATTGTGTTCGGAATCCAAGACTGCGACTTTGTGACTTTGACACTTTGTGTCTGCGTCCGCCGAGTCGTGTCGAGTCCGTGTCGAGTTGAGTGAGTGTGTGTGTGTGCTCTCACTCTCTCTCTCTCTCTCTCTTTCCCGGCCTCGCTGCTCTGCCTCAGCCCTGTCACAATGATGCTGTTTTCTTGCCACAACAAACCATCCGCAATCTCTTTTATGTCGAAGATCATTCCTCTGGCCCTGTGCTGCAGCAAGACAATGTACCAACGCTCTGCGACCTTCTCCTTTGCATGGCTACAAGCACTGTTTCACTCGGCTGTAGCCGCCATCGTCTCTGTCACAACCACTACAATGACATGGTTCCTGCATCCATGTGTGCAGAGGGTTGTCCTTCTGTTCTTGACTTCAGGCACCCTCCACATACGGACACTATGTCCATTTTGTGGTCAGGGGCACTATACTGAATGTATGGTCTTGTGTGGTGACCTTTCTTCCTTCATTTTGGCCTGCAATCGACATGCCGTTTGTCAGCGGTGTATGATGGGCATGCTCAATGCCAGCCATCGTGGCAATCGTTGTACTGAGAATGCTCAGCTAGGTATTCCATGTGTTCATCCACCTCATCCTTACAATGTATGTCCTTTCTGTCGTCAAGGAGAGACTCGTTCTTGAGCCTTTTCTTATCCTCTTTTGCCCTCATCCTCACTCCACACTCCGTACTTTCCCTTACTTTCCATTTATCATTCTTTGTTTGTCTTCTCTCCATCTCTCTTCCCTGTGTTTATCCCCTCCCCCTTCACTCTGCCTCTCTCGCAACGTACAAGTGGGCCATTATGGCACACGTGGATGGGGGCAGCTCACGCTCAACTTCATCAATGTGGCGAGCCTTGTACGTGAGAGGCACAGTGTAGGAGGAGTTAAAAGAAGAATGAGAAATTGAATGGTTTCAAAGTGCGCTATTTTAGTTCATGTTTATGTAACAAATTGACAATATATAATATATGTCATTTTCTGGGCCCCAAAAATTGGGATGTGTGCTTGCAATTGTATTGCTTTCTGGCAGAGGTACTGCTCTGCTTAAGACTGACGTGGACTAGATGGGGATTTCTGCATGCAGATGCGTGGGAAAAAGTTGCTTGTATTGGATCCGCGGTTGAGTGGTCCGTTGTCACTCATTGCCCTCATGTCATTGCTTAAGGTCAGTGTCCTGTTCCCACTCTAATTCCTGCTCATATTCCTGTTCGTATTCCTGCTCCTGTTCCTGCTTGTATTCCTGCTTCTGTTCCTGCTCCTGCCTGTACTTGGTACTCTAGCTTGTGCTTCTTGCAATGTTTCTGCACCCTCATTCTCAACTACCTCGGTCGCTCAGGCTGTTCCGGTTTTGCACTTCTTGTGGCTCCCTCTTGCTCTCCCCGCTCCTGCTTCCGTGCTCCTTTCGCTGGTTGTGCTCCTTCCTCCCCCTTCTTTCCTGGAAATCATTATGCCCCCATGTCTGTAGTCTATCAGTATCCCAGACAAGGACATGCTTGACGCAATTAGCTGGCCGGTTGTGTGCTACTGTAGCACTGGATTGCATGAGTCACAGTTGCTTTAATGCCCCCTGCAAATAGTGCATGGTCATGATAGCCTTATTTAGGATGATGTTTAGGCCAGATAATGCTATAATGGCCAGGCCTTACGTTTGATGGAAGCGGGTAGGGAGTAAATGCATACAGTCGACAGGTGTGTTGCATTCCACTGCCTGATTGTCATTTCAGAGTTTTTCTCGGACTCAACTCTCAGTGGGCCAGCATCATAGAAGTGATCCTTCCCGAGTACCAGTCGCGTCTACAGGTCAGGTGCCATCCACTTTGCGCAAGCATGTTCGTTGTCATTATGTTGGCCAAGCTCATGCTGAAGTAGTACACCCTGAGATCTGTAGTGGATTTTGGAATAACGAGTAGCTTTGACTGTAGAGCAGAGTTGTGACTGTTGTGGAGGTTTTTTTCCCTTGTTTTTTCGTTTGACAGTTTTTGGTCGAATATCTAGCCGACAGATTTGGCCAAGCCTAAATAGTGTGACTTGCGTATCTTGTATCACTGCCATTACCTTCTGTTTCGGACCTATTTATAGGTTGAACCAGATTTGTTCAGAACTTGTGTACAATCGTGATGATAGAAACACAGGGAGGAATTGAGGGTTTCCTGACTGTAGTTTTTATTGTGGGGAGTATTGTGGGGGCTTTTTTTTTTTTTTTTTTTTTTTTTTTTTAATGTGGCCCGATGGACCACGGATCAGATATTAAACTGATCAGAACAGATACTACACTTGATCTTAGCCAAAAGGCCGAGAAAGGTATATTGTGGGGGGCTTCTATTGTAGATTATTTTCATTTCTTTTCTTTTCTTTTTTCTTCTGTTCTTTTTGGAATGTTGCACTCTTTTAGTTCATAGATATGTGACAATATATGCTGGAAAACGGATCCAGCCTCCCATACATCATTGATCCGCTCAACGCTTCCCTCCATTATGGCTGAGGGACCTTGAGTCAGTGGCATTGATCGCAGAAGGTTGCTTCTGACAGCCACTTGTGCCCACTTCATTTGAAGTATATTGCTTGTCCTTGCTCCCGGTTGTAGTACATCGTGTATGTCAAACAGAAGCCAGTCATGGTTGGGCCCCACCTCTGCCACGTAGGCCAATACTGCTTGTGGCTCATGCTCCATCGTCATCATGGCCCAATCCCCCATTGACCATTTGGCATTTCCTTTAGTTCCGCCTTCCATTCTTCCAGAATTGACAGCAGGATGTCATGAAGGTTAGCTTGCAGCTTATGGCACCCCCTCAGCTTATCCCTTAAGTCCGTATATGTCCTCCAAGTCCTGCGATTATCATCCTAGATGTGCTTGAGCTGCCAGATCCCCTTCTCTAGCAACAAGCCCCAACTAGTCTCCCTGGCTGTATGTGTCCAGGGCTGTCCCTGCTGGTCAGTTACCCGCTGGTTGCAGAATAAAGGCTGTGGCTGCACTTATTCCTCAGTGACCAGGTGCCAGGAAAATTTGTCTCCAGACCTCGGAGGACGTAGGCCCAGTACGACTGTCATCCCTCCTCTGGGTCCTCCTTCCCATCTCTGGCCATGGTGTGCTGTGGACTTGACCCGGCCCATGATTTGGACGTAAGCCGAAACTGACCCTGCATGTTGTCCAGGGTGGCGAATTTAGGCAACTGCCTTAACGGTCTCATCCCCAGTGTCTGCCAAGGGAGGTCCCGTTGCAAGAGAAGTTTGAGAATCCATCTCATCTGGAGAGCCTTGATTTGTATCTCAGGATGAATTATCCCCAGGCCGCCTCTTCCCTTTTGGAGCACCACGCACTGCCACGCCAGCTTGATTATGTATCTCTGCCCCGAGGGGTCCCCTGCCCATGGATACCCCGCTGGCCTTGTCCGAAGTGTCGTTTTCAAGGCGGATTCAGGATTCCATATGGTTGCTGTGTACCATAACATGGAGAAGATTGAGGTGTTGAGTATGAGCGCCCGGCCAAACACCGATGTGTCAACCCCAGTCCAGGCTTCTAGTTTCGTCAGTATTTTCGCCAGGATTTCAGGGCCCATCATGTGGGAGGGCCCATTATCGTCCATTTTTATGCCCAGATACCGCAGGGGTTCTCTTTGAGTTTGCCAGCATTCACTCTGGTGTGGATGTGGGTGGCGGTCTCCCAGGGTCTGCCATCCACCATCAATGTCTTCAGCCAGTTTATTCGCACTCGGAGTCTATCTACAGGCTTGCAGTGCCCTTGTAGCACGTGGAATGAGGAGTCAGAGGCCCTAATCAACACCGTGAGATAATCTGCAAACAGGATGGCCGTGTGGGGGTAAACCGGGTGGTCCGTTTGGTGGAGGTCTCCTGTAAGTCGCTCTTTGGAGAGGGCCTTTCAGAGGAAGGAGGCAATGGCCTCTATTGCAATTGATCACCCTGACGGACTGATGTAGACATTTGGACAGGTTCTGGCAAAAAAGCGTTCAGCTGGACTCATCCACGGTGTCGTTATACAGCACTCTAACTCACTGCCTGATGTTGAAGTTCCACTTGACCTGGTCATATGCTTTTTCAAAGTCAAAGAACAAGATCACTGCACTCATCTTCTTGTCTTTGATATGTCTGTCGGACTCAGATAAGATCATTACATTGCCCAGGGCAAGGAATACGAGCGAGAGCGATAGACAGAAAACCAAGTTGCAAAGTCACGAAGTATTCCCGATAGTCATGTATCACGCAGAGAGCACAATGCACCAAGATTCCATCCAAATAAGAGCAATACAATGAACTCGAGTGTCACTCCGACGCTTGCTGGTTACACAAACATTGTATCCAATGTCGCTCTTACTGTCTGGCGCTCAGCGCCCAGCCTACTCTAGTCAGCCTATCTATCCGAACTACGTTCTTGCGACCGGATCACATCGAAGTCGAAGACCAACGTACGTGACGTCAACACCAATGCCAACCACCAGCATACACCAGGTACGTTCTCTCTCCTCCCCTCATCACACCTTGATCCCCTCTGCATGCACCTCCTACCTGAAGACAACCATCGCCATCACATGCCCGCACCCCTGCAGCCCGGCTATGGCTGTTGTGCGCCCGCTGCCTCAGCAGCGCCCCTCACCTCAGCGCCTGTGCACACGTCTGACCAGCAGCGCCCATGCAGACACTAGCGCAGCAACGCAGCAGCGTGTCCGCATTGCGTACCCCAGAATGTCCTCCCCAGGGCCTCACACTTTCCTTTATGGAAAGTGTGCCCACTGCTCAGTGTCCTGGCCAGGCGTGTGGGGGGCCCAGTAGCTTCAGTCTGGCCCCAAGTGTCTGCGCCCAGGCCCAGTTTCAGATACTGACCTGGGCCTCGTGCAGTTAGGCACGTTCAGACAGCCTTCTAGCCTCCAAGTGTTCGCATCTTCCTCATTGGCTCGCGGTTCATGTGTGACCACAATGCTGCTTTCTCATTGGCCCATGGCCGGTCCGTGATGTGTCGGCCTCACACAGCAGGTGCCCAGGGGGCAACCGCCTGAGCCCTGGGCTCAACTGTACAGCGCAGCCCTTGCTTCTGGAAGGAGCCTGGGGCTCACGTCGTTCTGTAACCAACTGGCGTGCTGCAACTGTCTGATACCCCACATGTGGAAAAATGTCGAAAATAGGCCTCACGTGGATATTCAGGCCCGCCTTCACTTAGGGCGGGCACGAGGCTTGCTGTGGGCAGCTGCGCAGAACACCTACATGTCTGACAAGGGCCCTGCGAGGGCTAATTCCTCGAACCAGAATGAATATTTCTGGGAATAGACCTTGTCTGGTCTATGTGAAGACTTTTCCTTGTGATTTCCCTGAGGCGGTTTGCTAGTGCCTTCGCCAGGACCTCTTAGCCGGTAGGAGGTTATGGGTCTGTAATTCCGTATGCTTTTCAGGTCTACCTTCTTATACAGGAGGTTGACTATGCCTGTACTAATATAGTCTCCTAATCCTTCGGCCCTTTGGCTTTGGTTCAGGAAACGTTGTAATCATCGTCAAAGATCAGCCAGAATTCCTGCCAAAATTCCTTGGAGAGACCATCCCTTCCCGGTGTTTTTTTGTGGTTCAGTGACGCTAAGGCCTTTCTAACCTGCTTCTGGGTCAGAGGTATATCCAGATCCTCCGCCTGCTTCAGGGTTATTGTCCTGTTAAGGTAACGGAGCAATTTCCCCCTTGTGTGATTGATTACCTCCATCTGGTATTCTCCCTCCCCTGATGTCTAAACATCCCTGCTGAAGTAGTCCATTGCTATGCAAAATATCTTCGCCGTCTCCGAAGTTATCTTCTCCCCTTGCTGCAGCTGCTCGACCGACGCATTCTTCACATTTGACTTGATCTTCCGAAATGAAACCAGACTCGTCTTCTTCCTTACTCAGCATGCATGGAAACAGACGACAATCACACTGGCGCCAGGCGCCCACACAAAACTCAGAGATATCGAGTCCAAGAACACAGTTTAGATTTAAACTTGCTTCCGATGGCTATGGCGCCTGTGCGCCCACACAACACCCAGCCGACACTGTATTCCCGACAACTGTTCACATGCACGCTACTCTGGATCTCCCTGGATGTCCCACACACACTCACACACTTCACGCAACACGCTCACACATACACGCTACAACCTGCGGCAGCTATGGCCGCTTCCTACCTTCCTAGCTA